CCCCAAAAAAACTTTTACAACAGAGGAAGATTTTCACCACACTAAACCAATCACTGTAATCATCCGACCCTTTGGTGGAAAGGGAATTCTGACAACTGTAACCTCACGTGAATTTGAAGAAGCCGTTTAACCCAAACTAAAGACACTATTTATTCAATAAAAAGTGAAACAAAATAAATCAGACACCTTAAATATCTTATAGACACGAGCGTCATTACACAGCCTCTACGAACCTCTGATAAAGCTCCACTCGATCAAAAGCAGTAAAGCCGCCACAAAAATCTGTAGAATGATACCCCTCCAAGGAGGTTCCTTGATGTTGGTAAGGGGCTCCTGATCCAAGGAACTGGGCCTGTGCTCCAATTCCTTGAATCTAGTCTGAATGCCTTCCATTGCCCAAGGTGCTGCATAACCCTTATGGGTTTAGTTCTTCCTCATGACTGTAATAATAATATAGACTGACAGCACTGATAATAAAAAATCTTCACTTGCCTCTTGAAACTGGCGCATTACTTCCATATTTTATTTTGAGTATTGGAGAAAAAAATTATCTATGTAATTTTAGGGAAACTATTAAAAAAAAAAACTTTGACAATTGTGATCATGGGGAGCACACTCAAAATAGATTAAAAAATTTGGCAATCAACGGGCCTAACAATTGTTTCAGAGCTTAATACAAAACAGTAAATTCAAGTATCTACATGTCGAAGTGCTTTTCTTTAACGTACAATACTCTCTCACTTCTCTTTTTCATTTTCATTCATGACATAGCCCAAATCATCGCATTAAAACATCCTTCGCAGGATGACACCAAACTGGCCATGAGCTCCTCATCGAGGACAAGACAAAATTTTAAAGCCATTAAACCAAGTCCCCAGTGGGCACAAAAACAACAAAAAAAAAAATTTAAACACGACAACAAATTTCAGCTTACCTTTCGCTACGGAAAAAGTAAGTCAAAACGGAAAAAATTTTAAAATACGATTTACACTCGTAATATATATATTATATAATATATAAATATATATATTATAATTAAAAATAATATATATAATTTTAAATAAAGCGGAGGTCGGTAAATCAGATATTTAAAGAACATATTAGTTGTGTTATCACTTCTGCGCAAGGACAATGATAGACTGGTTAACAAGATCTGTCAAAACAATTGAAGAAAATCAGCTAAGATTGTCTTGAAGGCATTTTTCCTCGCTGAACTGGAAATTTTCTGCACACTGACAGTCACTCTCAGATCTGGAGAATGTAACTATCCAGTCAAATATTTAAGCTATTGTGGACCCCTATAATCTCAATAGATTATAGATCAAAAAAACAGCATAATTTATACTTGGAAAACACTGGAAGCGCTTGCTCCAAATTTGCGTACTGAAGTAACTCTTCATTAGTGTATGTACCCAGGGAGGTGTGTGCCTCTCAGTGTATGTACCCTGGGAGGTGTGTGTCTCTCAGTGTATGTACCCTGGGGGTGTGTGTCTCTCAGTGTATGTACCCTGGGAGGTGTGTGTCTCTCAGTGTATGTACCCTGGGAGGTGTGTGCCTCTCAGTGTATGTACCCTGGGAGGTGTGTGTCTCTCAGTGTATGTACCCTGGGAGGTGTGTGCCTCTCAGTGTATGTACCCTGGGAGGTGTGTGTCTCTCAGTGTATGTACCCTGGGAGATGTGTGTCTCTCAGTGTATGCACCCTGGTAGGTGTGCGTCTTTTAGTGTTTGTACCCTGAGAGGTGTGTGTATCTGTCAGTGTATGCACCCTGGGAGGTGTATGTATCTCTCAGTGTATGTACCCTGGGAGGTTAGTTACCATTTATCCTAGGCACATATCAATTATACACTATGTGTGTGTGTCTCCCAGTGTATGTATTTTGGGAGATGCGTATCTCTCAGTGTATGTACCCTGCGAGTTATCTCTCAGTGTATGTACCCTGGGAGATGTGAATGCGTCTATCATTGTGTGTGTGTGTGTACCCTGAGAGATGTGTATCTCTCGGTGTTTGTACCCAGAGAGGTGTGTATGTATGTCACAGTGTATGCCCTGGGAGGTGTGTACCTGTCAGTTGATGTACCTGAATGGTTCAAAGAACCGACACGTTGTTAAATTAGACACATGTGCAACTCTTGGGTATCGTTATCCTCAATAAAGATACCCAAGAGTTGCACATGTGTCTAATTTAACAACAGTTGATGTACCCTAGGAGGTGTGTACCTGTCAATTGATGCACTCTGAGAGGTGTGTACCTGTCATACTATGCACCCTGAGAGGTGTGTACCTGTCAGTGTATGTGCCCTGGGAGGTGTGTTCCTGTCAGTGAATGTACCGTGAGAGGTGTGTACCTGTCAGTTGATGTGCCCTGGGGTATACCTGTCAGTTGACTTAATCTAGGAGGTGTGCACCTGTCAGTTGACGTACCCTAGGAGGTGGAGTTGTACACCTGTCAGTTGATGTACCCTGGGCGGTGTGTACCTGTCAGTTGATGTACCCTGGGAGATGTGCACCTGTCAGTTGATGTACCCTCGGAGGTGTGCACCTGTCAGTGCATGTACCCTGAGAGGTGTGTGTATCTGTCAGTGTATGCACCCTGGGAGGTGTATGTATCTCTCAGTGTATGTACCCTGGGAGGTTAGTTACCATTTATCCTAGGCACATGTCGATTAGACACTATGTGTGTGTCTCTCAGTGTATGTACACTGGGAGATGCGTATCTCTCAGTATATGTACCCTGGGAGGTGTGTATGCGTCTATCATTGTGTGTGTGTGTACCCTGAGAGATGTGTATCTCTCGGTGTTTGTACCCGGAGAGGTGTGTATCTCAGTGTATGTACCCTGGGAGGTATCTCTCGGTGTATGTACCCTGAGAGATGTGTACCTGTCAGTTGATGTATCCTTGGAGGTGTGTACCTGTCAGTGTATGTACCCTGGGAGGTGTGTACTTGTCAATTGATGCACCCTGAGAGGTGTGCACCTGTCAGAGTATGTACCCTGAGAGGTGTGTACCTGTCAGTGTATGTGGCCTGGGAGGTGTGTTTCTGTAAGTGAATGTGCCCTGGGAGGTGTGTACCTGTCAGTGAATGTACCGTGAGAGGTGTGTACCTATCAGTTGATGTACCCTGGGGGTGTACCTGTCAGTTGACGTACCCTAGGAGGTGGAGGTATGCACCTGTCAGTTGATGTACCCTGGGCGGTGTGTACCTGTCAGTTGATGTACCCTGGGAGGTGTGCACCTGTCAGTTGATGTACCCTCGGAGGTGTGTACCTGTCAGTATATGTACCCTGGGAGGTGTGCACCTGTCAGTGAATGTACCCTGAGAGGTGTGTACTTATCAGTTGATGTGCTCTGGGGGGTGTACCTGTCAGTTGACTTAACCTAGGAGGAGTGCACCTGTCAGTTGAGGTACCCTAGGAGGTCTGCACCTGTCAATTGATGTAACCTGGAAGTTATGTACCTGTCAGTTGATGTACCCTGGAGGAATTTATATTTTTCAGTGCATATACAGAGACTTTTACTTAATCCTTATTTTAGGAATTAAATTATTACTGATGTTAATGTATAGATGACAAGAAGCCTTAGTGACCCGAGTTCGCTCGGTAGGTCATAACCCTCAAAGCTCAGCTCTGGTGCCTTCCGATCACAACCGATGAACTAAGGTTCAGTCCTGGGGTGGGTGGAGACAAATGGGTAACTCTACTTGCATCTTCTGTCCCTCTTTACTTGTCGGTAATTAGGTACCTGGGTAGCATCCTGGGGCTGGGCGGTAGGTTAGGTTTTGTAAGACTCGCCAGGAAGCAGGACCAGTGTCTCCTGACTCGGGTCTTAGTCATATGATGACCCGCCACTGGAACTTTTGGTCATTTGACCGAGGCCTTTCCCTGGCTTACCTTTCCACCCCTTTAAAATTTAAAATTAATTGTGACTGATATGAGCTGATGTAAAATAAACCTTAGCCTGAAAATTCAATTAATAATATTTAAATTTCCGTCCCATGCATAGGGAATGGGAGACAATAAGATTTGATTCAAGGAAGGGAAGCATAGGCCCATTTCCTTGAATCAAGAGCCCCTTATCGGCATCAAGGCACTTCCCGTGAGGGGTAGGAATTCGATGTGGAATGAGACGACTAGACCAACATACTCGTGGCGACACCTGTTGGTTGCACCCCACACTCAGATAGGATTATTAGTATTACATTGATGAGGAAGAGCTAAACCCATAGGAGTCATTCAGAGCCTGAGGAATGGTAATTAATGTAAATAATCATCTTTGATCCAAGGAAAGAGGAGGATAGCTCTGCTTCCTTTGATTAAGAGTTCTTCTCCAGCAACAAGGAACATCCGTCCCATGAAGGGTACGTGGGAGCAGCAGCAGTGTCGCTTCCTGGTAACAATCTCAGACTTCACATGTTCGTGTAGGGTTGGAAGGTGTGGTGATCACAAGCGGGTGCTCACCACCTCTTAGTTGCCTCTGACAAGTTACAGGTTGACGAGCAGTGCATCACCACCACCTCTCGTTTGCTCGCAATCTGTGGATTACAAGTGAAATCTTTGGTATGTTTGTTTTTCTTGCAAGTCAAGCTGGGAAGATGAACCAGGATCCCTGGTAATGGGGATATCAACCGTGCTTTGTTTATATTATAAATTCATCATCACTGGCTTTGTAGGTTTTAAGCAATTTGTAAAAGAAACAGATAATGTAAGTAAACTAGAATGTGTTCTGCTACCCTGTAATTACTGATTATACCCGAGGTACCTCCATTATTACTGATTTTCATGTCCTTCACATTACCAAAAGTAAAAATAATAAAATCTGCTGAATATAATTATATTTTAGTTCCATTCAAGGTAGGTTCCTTATTGCTAGTTAGAGGTTGATGGTGGTCCAAAATAAAATAGCTTCCCCCTCTTCCTTAGGTCGAACTTTAATCATATTTCCTAGTCGTTGAACGACTTACTAATTTAGTTTCCTCTTAAATACAATACTAATTAGTTAACAGGTATCGGATAAAAATGGTTACTACCCTAAAAATTTTCCCTCACAGCATAACTAATAATACACCCAACACGTAAACTGTCTAATACCCCCTTGTAAACGTTAATTGGCCCAATTAGCTGCTCTGAGGAAGTACTTAGACATAGGTAAGAGGGTCTTGGAGCCTTTCCAAATTCAGGCCTGTTGAAGAAAGTACTAGTGGAAACAGGACGAGCGGGCCTTTACTAAGCTTTAAGTATCAACGTCAGTGAGGCACCAAACATTTATTGCTCTACGAAAACTTTTCTAGGGTCATTGAAAAGTTTAATATGCTTCAGTTTCCGTGCGTGGTTAAACCTACTTTTCGAAAGTGGTTGTAATAAGCGGCACTAAATAGGTTTACAAAAAATAGCAAGAGTAATAATCATGACTTGCTCATCCACTTTATATTACGTGGTTTATGGAAAAATGTTTGTGAAGACCACCTCGATATTTCTGAAAATTGCATAAAATCTTTAACATAGTTTGTTGTAACTCTGTTGCATATCGTTGACGTGAATCCGTCATGTGAACGGCTTCGCGGAGTTTAGAGGCGCCTACGCTGACTTAAAATGTAAAAAAGTCGGGTGGCGGCAGTCCTTATAAAACAAGGCTTATCGCAGCAGTTTTAAGTGTCTGTCTTCAGGCTGCATATAGTTTCGTTAGGAAACAAGACTAGTATCTATTGAGACTTCTGATCCATTAAGAGTCTGAATCACTGATGACCTACCTGAGCAAATCTGTACACCACATGCGTCACAAGTAACATACGATACAACCGATTATCGGTGACTATTTTTTTTAGGAAACTATACAGCATGCGACTAGTCTTTAATATAACTCGTTGAGGCAAAACATTCCCCCGGCTTATTCAGCTAGATATTCATCTTAAAAACAAAAAGATAACCACAGAGCACTGTAGGATGCCTTCTAGGGAATACAAAGTAAAGTTTAGGATATAACCCAGGCAGTAATTAACACCATATTTATTAATTCGTGGTAGATGCATTAGTGAAGAGTAAATAATTATTTCTAAGGGAAATATTAATTAGGCTGAAGGATTTTAACCTTCACTGCAATTGACGACGCGATCAGGTCCCTTCACAATCGAATAATTGATGCTACTAATGCAACCTGTCAATTAGCTTCCACAAAGATCTACCAACAATATAAACCTACGAGGGAAATTAGAGACGTTTTGAGGATTTATCAAATAGAATGTCGAAGGTATCTTCAAACGCGACAACCACCAGTAGCTACATTGCACATATTGAGGCAAGAATTAATTAAAATGATTAGTCATCACAAACATGACTTATGGAAACTGCTAGTTCTCCAAGCTAATCAGTATAAACGTGAGCCAGCAAAATTTTGGAGTAAGATCCGACAACTTTTAGGGGCAAAGCACAAGGCTCCTAACTACCTAATTCATACCTTCACTGATGAGGATGAAGATGTTGAGATTAAACTTGATGATCCACAGGACCAGGCTAATTTGATGGGTGATGTATGGGAGAAAATTCTCTCCCACAATAAGTCGTCGATTTAACAATACTCACTATCAGTTGGTAAATGAATGGAGAGATAACATAGATCTACAACTACTACCTTCAATCGATACATCAACTCTTGATGTCCACCCGCTTACTAGACCTATTACATTACTCGAGATGAGTCAGGTTATTGGAAGAATGCGAAATAGAGCCCCTGGTCTCTCTGGAATAACAATGAAACTAAGTTCCTACCCAGAAATTGTAAACAGTCTTTGGTTAATATCTTTAATACCATCTTGGCCTCAGGACATTTTCCAGTTGTTTTTAAGACTGCTAGGATCTTTCTTGCTAAGCCCAATACACTTTCATCAACCAGGGAACTATAGACCTATATCTTTACTTGAAGTCACTGGAAAAGTTCTTGATCATTTCCATCAGACTGAGCTACTATATGGAGTTCAATCACTTTTTTACTGAAAAACAATTTTGCTTTAGAACACAGAGGTATCCATCATGCAATAAATATTATTTTCGATACTGTAGCAAGTCTAAAACATCAGGGCAATCTTGCCCTATTTGCCACCAGAGATGTTCATAAAGCTTTTGATAGCTTATGGCATGATGGTCTTGTATACAAACTTATTGACCTACCTGACCATAACTGGACCTTTCTCAGATTAATATATAGCTTCTTAACTCAAAGAAAAATCATTCCCACCTTTCACGGCAGGTCGACAGAGCCTTTATACCAACAGCTGGTGTCCCACAAGGTTCTTGTCTTAGTCCAATTCTATTCAACATTTATGTGAATGACCTTCCTCAACCAGAGTTTAATGATACAATTATAACTCTATTTGCAGATGTTATCCATGTCGTCTCATCAACTCCGGTAACAGGAAAATACAAGTATGAGAGAGTCGTAGAAAAAATTAATATTGAACTTCGTCGAATATCTAATTGGGAAAAGAAATGGAGAATTACGACTAACCCTGACAGTCCTTGTTAGCACAATAGGATGTTTTGCATCAACCATCGGAGATAAAGGGGGTATCTCCATCAGAGGTACGCCTGTAGCCATTAGAAACCCTAACAAGATCTTGGGATATGAAATAGACAGGCTGCTCCACTCAACATCTCTTGTAAATAAAAAGATCAACATAGCCAAAGCCGGTCTTAACAGTCTTTAGATTTAATCAAGCCCCTCCACATGTCAAAAAACATCTGAATAAAATAATAAGACCTATACTCGAATACCCATGTGTCCCAATGTCATTAACAACAAAGACCAACATGCTACGGTTGCAACGGGTCCAGAATAGATCTCTTCGCTTCATTACGGGTACCAGGAGGAGAGAGTTAAAATGGCAGATTTACATGTACAAGAGGATATTACTGCCTTAAATGTACGCCTTGGCACCCTGAAGAAGAAACAACTCCATGCAATGCAAGAACTCTACATGCCAGATAGAGAACATCCTCTCCAAGTTGAAAATACCACGGATTATATCAATACTCCTCACAGGACTCAAAGAATGACTCCCACAGAGTCTGTCGTTTTATCCATAAAGACGATTACCATCGACCAATGATACTGAGCAACCTCCCTGATGAAGATGATTGGGTAACACCAGAACCGTTCTATGTTTACTAAGAAAATCATCGCCCCCAATTAAGGAGACATCTTGTATAATATTCTATTGTTAAAATTATGCTACATTTACTATGGCGGGACACCACCTTGTAAGAAGCTATTGTCAAGTAATTCTTTATAAACTGGCCAGGAAATTGCCTTCATTGTAGTTTAAATATCCGTTGTGCAATCGCGCAAAGAAAAAAAAAAATTGCAACTTGTATATTTACTACCAATTCAGAGTCATGTACTTGTATATCTGTTATATCTGTGACTCTGATGGGTTAGTATTATACCCCTTCAAAAATATTTTATTATTCCACATACACTCAAGCCGGACTTGAGTCCTGGAGATGGGAAGTACAGTGCCTGCACTCTGAAGGAGGGGTGTAAATGTTGCAGTTTAAAAACTGTAGTGTAAAGCACCCTTCTGGCAAGACAGTGATGGAGTGAATGATGGTGAAAGTTTCTTTTTCGGGCCACCCTGCCTTGGTGGGAATCGGCCAGTGCGATAATAAAAAAAAATAACGTACACTTTTTAAATTACACCAAAGTGGTTGGGCCACTTACCTTTTATATCCTACATCTTTCCCCCTCCCACCCTTTTCCAATATTTCTATCCTTACCCATCCTTCTTCCTTACCCATCCTACCAAAGCTCTGGTAATAATAATAATAATAGTCTTTTAGTTTTTAGTAAAGTACTTGGCAAAAAAAAGTACGGATGGCAAGTTAGGTATGATAGTGTGGAACTTGAGCAACGAGCCTTGGGAAGCGAACATAAAGAACTGAGGAACACTGCAGTAAGCCTACTGGCCCAACACACTCCCACCCTCACCTACTCTTGTACCTGTCCAATCAATATTAAAAGCTATCCATAAATTTTCTGTTACCTGAGTTTATCCCACTCGTCTAAAATTTTGCCAAACACGCGCTTCCCGGTATCCTTTCTAAATCTAAGTTTCTCTTAGGTGCCATGGATTTAGGTGCCATGGATTTAGGTGCCATGGATTTAAATTTCTGCTAACCAGAACTCCTAAGCCATTTTACATTCACTCTGAAATATCTAAATTATTTAATTTGCAAGTAACATAGCTGCTTTGTTTTCCTAGGATTAGAGACTTGTCTGCATAGTCTGCCACTTCTCGGATCACATAAAACTATCCAGGTCATCGTGTAGTCTTTTAGTGCTCGTCTCGTAACGGGTCCCTATTTAGATTTCTTCCTAATAATGCAAAACTTATCGGTTTGTCATGCTAAGACCCAGAGGATAGAATTCCCTATTCCATGTTCTAACACCTTGCATACCTTAGTGGAAAATGGTGTAATCTAGGTAACCATTTGTCCACAACGCTATGACCCTTGTAGGATCAGCGCTTAATTTTAATTATAACCACTTGTCCGGAGTTCCTGGACTAGTCCCGCCCGTTCTATTTCGTTAATGGTGGTTAACTATAAACACTGGTTAATTTAGGATTATTTTACCTTTTTTTTTTTTTTTTTTTTTTTTTTTTTTTTTTTCCTCCAATGAAAATCGAAATTGCCCTTCTGGGAGTCTGGGACATAAAATAACATATAAAAAAAAGCCTACATGTGCATACAACCCCCATAATATATAGCTACAATGACTTGTATGTAAAAGCCTCAATATAAGACAAAAGTCGCTGAAATGGAAAGTGGCGCCTTGGTCAGCGTCAAACTTCCCGGACCTAGATACCTGTATTACCAAGCTATGCATCTTATTTCACTTCTGGGGAGTGAAATAAATGAACTGCTTCATCCGGAAAAAGCTTGGAAACTTAAATATTATTGGTACTATTGCTGGACCTTCTGACCCCCCCCCCCCCTGTTCTGCAGCTGCCAGACAGTCTCTCAGAATCCTTTGGACAGTTCTCGATATATTCCAGGTGCAATCCTGGACTGGCCATCTGATAATTGGCAAATTCTAGAAAACCTCTCACAAACACTAACATACTGTGCATATGCTATTGAAATAAATCTATGATCTCCATTGATTAGGGCCCATCACGAAATTCGTAAATTTATTTACGCCAGAGTAAACGCCGTCGGCGAAGTGCATCAAATCAACCAGATTCTCGTCTGGGATATTTATTTCAACCCCATTTGTCTATATTTCTGGAATAAATGCCTAACACTAAGGATGAGAGGTGAATGACCGACCTTCAATAAAGGCTAGCTTATCTCATGAAAGGGAATTCTGGGACACTCCCTCACTTACCACCTGGCCAAAGGAATTTCCAAATTATTTATGGACGCCTATAGGGTCGTCTCACAGGACCGAGAAGTATATAAAAGCCTGGATTCTGCAGACAGTGGAAGAATAGTAGTTTCACGTAATCAGTCCCTCAGCCAAGAGTCCTTGTTCAGTTCATCTATATAACGGTGCAGCATATGTCTGCAGTATACAAACCTCATCTCCAGTTTCTCTGATTGCCTCAAAAGCATCTTCCAGTTTCTCTGCACTGGACTAAAGCCACTGGCTGGCGAAACCTTTCCAAAATAGATTCCCAATAATTGTGGGTCATCGCCTGATAGTCTGCTCAGTAGAAGTCCATTTTGGATATTCAAGATGGAGATTGCTTTACTCAGCCTCTTGGAGCCTTTCTTGGCTACTTTGGTGCCCTTTCTCTTTCTAGTAGTCAGCGCTCAATATATCTAATTAAACTGGAAACTTTCTGCCACCAGCACCATACAGTCTGGAGGTCATTAGCAAAGTAAATGCCTGGACTCCTGTCCTCCCCCCCCCCTTCCCCTCGAGAGCTGGGCACAAACTTCTGTAAAGCATTTCCTTGCCTGATTCAATGCAACGGGACTAAACCAGTATAGAAATGGAATGTACGAAATAAATTTAAAATTAAATGGCAACAAGTAAATATTTAAACATTAAATACGACACCACTTTCAGTGATACAAGAGACCTCTATTTTTATCTGGAAGGGTAATAGGAACTTAACTGTCGTCCATTCACATTCTCTTACACAGTTAAGGCGCGAGAGTGTTGAGATGTGAGAGAGAACTGTGCCTTTTGAGCGTTTGACTTAACTGTTTATATAGATTTATAAGCTCCTTTATTAGTGATTTAAGGTTTTTCTATTTTGTAAATTTAAATTTTGACCTGATTAGTTCCCTTGGCCTTTCAATTCTCGGTTGCCTCAAAGATTTAATTTTCCTGCATAGTCATTAGAAAGCTTCATTACCATGAACTATTTACAGTAATCTTGCTTCATAATAAATGGAGTGAATAAATTAATCTAATTCGTGCATAGTTAATTTTATTTCTTGATAACCTTTTAATGCGTGGTTGTGTGCGCAGCCCCGGCAGCCACGTAGACTGACGATCCTCTCCTGAAGTAAATGGTGTAAACATGGCCAGACCCTGGATGCTGCATTCCATTCTGGCCTGCTGTCTAGTGTACCTTCACGCCTCTTCGGCCTCTACCCTGAACACTATATACAGGTGAGCTTGAAGCTTCCACTTCCTCTCCACCCTCAACACTAAAATTACAGGTGAACCCGAAGGTATCTACTCAACACTACTCTACAGAATTATAAGCTCAAGGCAAACTCTTTGCCCCCTCAGCACACCACTTAACAGGTGAGCCCAAGGGTAATAGTCTCTGCTAGCCCTCAACACTAATGCTCAGATAAGATTTAAACTTTCCCTTAGTCCCTCACCTTCTGAACCAAAGGTACCTTCAGACTTCACCCCTTGGCTCTGCCTGGTTATTTAATGGTGGACATAAGTAATATCCTAAAGTTAAATCTTTTAAGTGGCCTGAGTGAAAATCTACTTTGGTCAAGCATACCTGTTGCTTCCGGGTTTGCCTGTTATCTTTTTCTTAATCTTGTATTGAGGTTCACACTAAGCTCTTAAGAGGTGCTAATTAATATGTATAATGTCGTAAACATTCCCTTCATGCGTGGTCGTGCCTAAATGCTGGTGAAAGGCTATTGACCAGAGAAATTGATACTACCTTCCTTCCTTGCATCAAACTTAATTGCCTCCCCTTTCCTAGGTGCTGTAAAGCCCCTAGAGGTTTAGCGCCAGCCCATGAAAATATTTATTATCAAATATGATAGTTTAGTCTTATTTCCCAAGCTAGTTGTGACTCCTGTGGTACAGTGCTTTTCCTTAGATAAGTAAAGTGATTACCATTAAAAGTCTTCTTGCTTAGGAACCATGTTGGCTAATTTGGTAACACCTGGAAGTGAAATATTAGTAAGGCTATGTTAATTATTTTAGTGACTGAAAATACAGAAAATTGTATAAGATATAAATTAACTTCTGTGACAAACTAGGGGGGGGGGTATGCCTGGTTAAGAGCTATAATTCAATAAATGGGCAACATCTACGCCTATGGATCAAATCCGTCTCATTCCTGGGCCAAGCGGTGTAAACCCTTCGGGTCTAGCACGCTCTCCTATGTATTTATAATGTAGAAAGCTGCTCTTGCAGTGCGTGATCTTGAACTTCCAAAAATACAGCACACACTATTCAAATGACATTAACGAAAGCCTTAGCCGTGTAGATTACAAACTTGTGTTGTCGGAACTTAAATTTTTAGCTATAATGTATATTGTATTTTGAATTGTAGTCACAATGAATCGAGAGCATCTTCGTCCGGCTGGCTGGCGATGTTTGACTGGAGGAACACTTCGCTGGCTGGTGACGCTGCAGCAGCAATCGACAGCACAGCAGCTTTGAGCGAGGCACTTGCCTCGATTTGGGACAAGGTCCGTCGACCTTTTGTTCTCCAGGACACCGCACCAAATGTGGGTGAGTATTGAGAGATGCCGAAAGTAAGCTGTATGTGTATAGGAAAGAACGATGGTGGGAGGCGGAGAGATGCTGGGAGAAATATTAATATTGAGGGATAAGCTGGAAGAGATTTAGATGAATATTTAAAAATTTTCATCTGAAGTGGATGATTGTGCACTAAATAATCCTGGAAAAAAATAGCACGAAAAACTTAGTTTCAATGAACCACTACTTAGTGGACATTTGATTATGTAAATGGTACAAATAGAACAAATGATTCAAAACATGCCAGTGTAATTATGTACACTGATTCAAAGTGCAAACAAAATTTGCTGCTAATACTTAGGTCTGTCCAGGATGGACCATTCTATACCGCTGACAGCATAATTTAGTTTGTTTACGGAAAACACAATTTTGACACCATCAACCGGGTAACTAATTTTGCACCGAAAATTGCAACCAATACTGTTCCAAATGTATAAAAAAAAAACTGAAAACAGCGTATGGAGGTAGTTTTATCAGTGAGGCTGAGACCATTGTGGTAATGGTTACACCGGATGTCGCAGGATCCATTAAATTTGCTTCTGAGCGCACTAGTCAGAGGATGCCTGGATTCTGGTAAACCATTCTTGTTAAAGATAGATTCATTTCATCTTAAAGCTGATTAGCTTCTATTCCCTAGATGTTACATAAGGGTTTAGCGCTTTCCCTATGAATATAAACTGAGCGAATTACACGACAGTTTCCACTGACCCTAAATCATTCCTTCCTCTCACTTGATGCATGTACTGGCGTCCCAGTGACGTCTCGAGTACAGCTAATGGTGGAATCATTCAGTTTCCACGGCTTCAATTTTCAGCTTTAGCCGACGATTTTTAAAATTGCCAGTTTACATGTACGAGCTTAGATTTCTTTGAACATTGCTTTTAAATGTAGAACATTGTCTTGGTATTTTTCAATTTATAACAAGTTTTCAGTGTAAGTTAAGGGTCCCCGTGGTAAAGACCACAAATTATTTTTTACTAGTGCTCGTTGGAACAAATTTACATAACACTAACCGACCTCCTATTATACATTATCACTAAAACATTTACCCCTTTTAAGCTGAAACAATTGTTTTTTATAATTTTAGAACTGTTATGCCGTACGTAAGATATTTTATGCTTGTTAAATCAAACTTTTTAAAACTGGTAAATTTACTGGATGAGAAATTAGGTTTATATCAGACTGTTTACAATATTCCAGCCATGGCTGGATAGCATTGACGGAACTGGTTCTCTCATAAACAGTCTGCTCTGAGCGCACGTCTCTGGATAACATATTTTTAATCTTCAGGAGATCGTCTGACCACCTTCAGGAAAAACTACTGACGGAGGCTAAAAGTTGGTATACCCTCTACACCCACACTACTCCTTCCTCCCAGGTTAGTACTGGGCTGGAAAGGCTGAAGTGGTTGGGGGCTTAAATATTCAATGAACAAATTGACTCTGTGCTTTAATACCCTTTTTACTTGAATCTTAAACATTCATGATCTCGTTTTAGTATCTCAATCAAATTTGGCAATGCTGAGAAACTGACTGAATTGTATTCATAAGAAAACCTTTTTCTATAGTTCTGAACATATTAAGTTACAGCAATTCTTAATTAACCTCTTCCCTCAGTAGATAAGAACAGAACAGAAGAGGCAGCGAGGGGCAAGGTAGCGGCCGCCAGTGTGGTTGGCAGCAGTGGTAGTGGACAACCTAGACCTAAAAGGGATCACCCACTTGACCTACCACTCTACAAGGGCCACAACGGTGAGTAGTATAGAGGTCAAACCTAATTTCGTAGGATTATCTACTCTCCTGAGCTTTAAGTAAATTTTCCTACAGGTATGCTAGTGCTGGAGACTATAGAAGGCGTAGCCAGCCTTCCGGTGAACGGGTCTCTAGCTCTGCATATGGTGATGTGGCGCGGCAATATGATTTTAGCTATAATAGACTCTGACCTTAACCTCAAGCTCTTCACAATGGACCCTCAAACGCTAGAGGTAAGAATCTCTAAGCTCCTAAGAAACTGCATAGATAATACAAAGTCTGGTTGGTGGACTTTCATGTATATATATTTTTTTCAGATGCATGTCTTTCAGAGTACAAATATCAGTTTTGAGATCTGGAGGATAATCATTTAGGCAACCAAAATTTGCTTGCTTGTTCATTAGTTTAATGCTTTGGTTTAACAGAAAAAGCTGGTGTTAACAATGTCCGGGAGACTGAAGTGTAAAATGGCAAAAGTGTCGACGGACAACCTGCTTTTGGTGTGCATCACGCGCGAAGTTCCCCAAAAGTTGGCGAAGTCACGCACTATTGAGGAGGTGACAGTTTACCTCCTGAGGGAGGCAGAACCCGGGGGCACGAACCTGTCTGTTGATTTCCTGCAGAGTATCCCCACCCACAGCCCCTCCGACGTACATGTGTGGTGAGTACCCATGCTAGTAAGTCAGGCTAGCACACGAAAACCACATAAGCAAAATATGAAATTAATTTTACTATTAGTTTGTTACATCTGGAAGTATCTTAAGTGCATACACTAATTTTAATTAAATTGCTGTAAAAGATTTGTATAAAATGGATGTAGGAGACTTTTAAAAGTAAAGCTGCCACTTAATGTTTTTAAAACGACGGCTTAGGGGTGATTAGCTTGCCGGAAATATTTTAATTTTTAGTGAAATCGAATTTACTGATGTCACGTGAAATGGATTCTACTTGGTAAGTCATCGAATAAACTATCTACCCTTTCAGCCTTTCCCCTCCCCCCCCCCCTCCAAAATAATAAAAAGTATTAATCACCAAGTCCTGGGTTTGGGAGACGTGTATGCTCAAGTTTCCATAACCTCTCCTCGCCTATTATCCTTGCCCATTTAATACATAAAAGGTGTTAGTATACTGTGGATGGCATCCAGGAGGGAAGCGCTTAGAAAACAGGTTCTGCTGGAACTGTACAAGGGAACGCTGCATCTGCTGGAATCTTTGGTAAATGACCTTGACCTAATCTTTGAAGAAACTTAACACAAGACTTAAAAGTGAAATGCACAATTTGCAGAGGAACATATTAAACCTTAGACGTTTAACATGTTCCAGAAGAATAAATTTCTCAGCACGAGCCCTCTGCCAAATCTTGTAAAAACATCTTTCCTAAATGACATGACTGAACTTAGTGTAGCCTTGTTAAGAGAGATTTTAAAGTATGTAATGTTTAACATTGGTAAATGTCTGTAGTTTTACATAAATTTCTGGTTTGATCTAAACCAGTGTTAGACATGGCTTGTGATATTATTTACATAGACAAATCTTTGTGCTTTTAGGAGCCAAGAAGAGAGCTGGTATATGATGGTTACTGAAGCAATGCTAAGGAGGGCTAGTGATGAAATCTCCCTGACTGCCAACATCCACAAGACTACCACATTCTCCCATCATGGACTACAGTCCCACTACTCGCACCCTCATCCACCCTTCCGTACAACCACCACCTATCACACCACTTCTAGCATCTACCGCTGGACTGGCCAATACTTCGACATGATCCACAAGCTACCAGGCACCTACCCAACGTCAGTTCTCCACTTCAAAACCAAGAACCTTAATTTCATTGCTATGGCCAACTTCATGAATAATAAAGGTAAAAATGCAGAACATTCGTTGGCACTAGATGCAAAAATAAATTAAATATCGGAAAGTTTTAAATTGAAATAAATTAAACAGCTTTGAGATTTGTGGAACTGTTTTGGGTTCTTTATTTTTTTTTGTCCTCGAAATACTAGTTAAAATGTATCCTATAGAATTCTCTGGCTAAGATAGGTTACTGTATCTACATTTTTTTTCTTTATCTAGATTTTTTACTCAAAATCGGGCCTCTTATTAGCATGTGCTGCCGGTGCCTCGTGACTGGATCCTCTTTTGTTTTACAGCCGTGTAGGGCATTATGGGAGTAATTGATACTTTGGCATCTAAATGTAAAAACTAAGGAAAACACTAAATATAAGTGAAATGTAATCATAGGTGTAAAAGATGTATCGTAAAAGAACGCTGACATAATCGTTAATTAAAAAATTTCCTTCACGCGGTCAGCAGTGTTTGTCATGATCACCGGCACCGTCAAACCTAAACATTTCGTAGAGTACTTATCAGATCTCTTAATTGACTATTATTAAAGCCACAGAATTTTGTTGCTTTTTAATTTAAAAATCTTAGACATTTAGGGCAAGTTTAGATTCTTTGAAGTTTGAGTTAATTGATGATGGCTATTTTAATTGGGTATGTTTACTTGAGTAAGTTTTTATATTTTTTGTACATTTATGCTTAAGAACTGTTATCGTTGTGCTACATTAATTTAGATGCGAAGTTGCCTAAAGAATTTCCAAATTTTCAATCGAGCTTCTAATAGATCTTATATGCACGCAAGGACAGGCTTGAAGAATGCATCCACTAAAGATTAAAAGTTTATAATGGTTTTGGCAATTTATTAATGGTTTCAGGGGAGCACAACTGCTACAGTTACATCTTCCACCACTCCCTGGACATGGAACGCTACGAGCTTCACCAGCAGGTGTTTACAATGGGAGCTTTGAACTTTGAGGCCTTCACTCTGGGCAGTGGACTAGACCCACACACCTACCTCGCTGTAGCTAACTCCTGCGAGGATGTTAAACGAGGGGTTTGGGTAAGTAACTATTAACATTGTTTGAGTAATGGTGAATACATATTTATCTTGGTTCTCCAGCAACTGTTATCGAGGTTCTTAAGAGCTCTTGGTCAAAGGCATTAGAAGTATTCTTGGCTTACTCTAGAGTATTTCATTACCAAATCGCTGTTTAACCCCTTTATGGTTTAGCGATCAAAAATGAATATAATCGGGCTCTGCCCAATTAAACCATACCAATTATTTAATTAGTACGTTCCAAAATACCACTGCAAATACCAAATATTTATTCATTTAAGTTATAAGGGAAACTTTTTTTTTTTTTTTTACAGGAAGATGCAACCCTTATACACGCTCGAGGATCTATCGCTTTTATAATGGAAAGTTCATACTCTTCCAGGAGATCCCCACCGCTCACGCTGTTCAGTGGCTAGCTATCCAGGTACGCTCTTGTCTACTGATCTTAGTAAAACGTTAAGTGTTTTAGGCTCCTGACGTAAGGTATTCGTATTGATAAAACAGACCTACACGTGTTTTTGCTCGTCTCTATGAACTCTTTCCATAAATGCTCGCACTGTGTTTTTACCCAATCCTCTACAAAGTAGTTACCATTAACCCTCGTTATATAAGAGGTCTTGACATGAATGTTGGTAATGGGGGAGAGATTGAGGGAGAAGAGGGTTAAAAGTGAAGAGTACAGATTAAGAAATTTATTGGAACTTCTCCGGTACAAAGTTGATAATTTATAACTGTTTTGTGATTAAATTTCCTTACCCTAGGTAACATTTTAAGGGAATACAGTGGTTTACAGGAAACGTTAGTACTTACTAACGTTAGTACTTGTTTCTTAATTAAAAAATGAGGTTAAAGGCTAGTTAAAATGTCACATCACGTAATCTAGCTTAAAACTGCCTATTCGTGCCAACACTTCAATGCACCTTTATCCAGTAAGCGTTATAAAGGTAATTAAAGTTGCCCAATGTCTTTTATAAACAAGTTTCTGTGAAGAGCTTTAAAATCTTGCTGTGCCAAGTTGCTTTTCACTTTTCAACAAACTGGCCGTATCCCACAGGCAGGGTAACCCAAAGAAAAAAAAAGTTTATCCTTGTAAACTTAATATATACAGAAGAGGTTACTAGTCCCATGTTCCCGACATCATAGTCGCCTCTTAAGACACGGATGGCTCACGGAGGAAGAATTGTTCCACTTCCCCATTTAGATAAGACGAAATAAAAAAAAAACTGGTAATACAATAGGAAAGTCGCTCGCTCGCTCTCTCTCGCTCTCGCTCTCTCGTTCTCGCTCTATCGTTCTCTCTATCGTTCTCGCTCTATCGTTCTCTCTATCGTTCTCGCTCTATCGTTTCTCTCTCTCTCTCTCTCTCTCTCTCTCCTCTCTCTCTCTCTCTCGCTCTATCGTTCTCGCTCTCTATCGTTCTCTCTCCGCTCTCTATCGTTCTCGCTTTATCATTCTCTCTCGCTCTTTTTTTTTTTTAACACAGGGTTTGACAAGGTTAAGGATCCCTAGCTTTGACAGCTATTTACAGGTTAAGGATTCCTAACTTTATTGGCAAGCTAAGAGCTGTTACCTACATCAGCTCATTTGAAAGCATTTTTATTGTTATGAGACAGACAAGTAGGAAACAGGATGAAGTTGGAGCCATCTGTGGGCCAGCATTTTCATTTGATCAACTGACTTTATCTCGTTGACATCATTATCCTGTACGAATGTGTTCCATACTCGAGTCATCCTGGGTATGTATGATCTCAGATGGCATAAAAGCTTGTTTCACGCTGTCCTCGAAGTGGATCCAAGTGTGGTATTTTGACAATATTGGCCTTGTACATAACAGTAAGGCCACCCACATCCCTCCTATGTTGAAGGCTCTGCTGAAATGACAGATCTATCCAGGATGGGTCCAGGCTAGAGATGAGACGTCTTGCTCTGTTCTCTACGCTGTCAAGCAGTCGCAGATGAGAGAGGGGGAAGGCAAACCAAGAAAGTGGAGCATACTCAAGGTGCGAGCGTACTTGTGCCTCGTACAGGATCTTGCAACCCCTACTGTCAAGCAGATGCGAGATACGGCGAAGTGCTGTAAGCTTCCAGGCTGCCTTGTTTGTAAGATTTACAACATGGTTCTTCATGGTTAGTTTGGAGTCAAATTTCACCCCAAGGATATCAACTTCTCCAGGTGCCAACACCCTCCCATTCATCCTTACTACTGCACCAGCATTACCATCATGGTGCCTAGAGACGATCATCATTTGCGTTTTCTCAGGTGCAAATGTTACTTGCCATCTATTTCCCCAAGCTGATATAGCTCTCAGCTGGTGATTGATGTAGCTTAGAGCAGCTGACATTTCTTCTCTTGGATAAGTGAATGTCAGTGTACAGTCGTCTGCATATGCATGTGATTCTGGGATGAGATGAAGAAGGTCGTTGAAGTAGACATTACATAACAATGGACCCAGCACGCTTCCTTGTGGAACACTTGCCCCAATAGGATGTCTTGCTGATTCCGTTCCATTGAGAACTACACTTAGAGATCTACCATGAAGGTAATCACTGAGGAGACATAGCGTAGAGCCTGCAATTCCCAGTGCTTGAAGTTTTGCTAAAAGGCCCTGGTGCCACACCCGGTCGAAAGCGCCACCAATGTCCAGTGCTACCACACAGCTGACTTTGGATTCATCCAGTGACTGGTGCCACTTAGTGGAGAGGTTTAACAACAGATCAGCAGCAGAGTAACCTTTCCGATGCCATATTGACGATCACCAAAGTAGTGGA